CACACAATAACAACTTGTGTTAAGAACGATGAGGCTGTAGTTGTTTAGATATACTTCTCACTAAAAGATTCACTAAGCAACAAGTAAACCTATACTTCAGACTTCCGATGTAGTAGTCTACAAGTGTGAATGATTCCATTTTGACTCCTACGTTGTTTTGTCAAAATCAGGTAGGCAGATGTCTTCTGTTCCACACTTTATTGTTGAAATTAACCTGTTCTGCAAAATCAATGCATCATAACGATTCATTCTGATTCACCCTTCCAATGAATCAACACAGACTGTGTATGCTTGTAAATTAACTCTTTGTTACGTAATTATCTGTAAGACATATTGCCATATTATGATGAATATAAATGTGTGACTTCACCACATTCATATTTGATTTAATTAATGTTCACTTGTTTATCACTCTCACAAGTGTGCAATTATCATTTAATTCTAGTTAATTGAAATAACTTTGGGGAATAATAAAAGTGTAGAAATAATTATTGTCAAAATGAACGTATAATTATTGAAAGTCTATTCTTTTCCAAGTAAGTTATATTGAATTTTATTATTCTAGTACAGAATTAGCTTCATATGAATAATTTCTTCTGGTTTGCGATTTTTGGCGAGTTGGTTTTCAACGGGATGGTTTAATAACTCCATACCCATCCCTCCTGTTTTATCTGGTCTTTGGACCGACAGAAGGGCTCGAGACGGAGTTAGCTTCCATCTAGGCGTGAGTAAAATGAACAAAATTATCATGAGCATCACAATCGATGATCATGCTATATAGCAGGACGAATGCTGGTCAAGTTGAAGGTCATGAAAATAAGTAGCATTAGTTATTTTCATATGTCACTACCACTGGGTGCCTGAAAGCACTGGATGGCCGTTCCGCCCTGGAATGAGACTCTTCAGTAGTGCGTACACACAAACTCGCACCAGGCGTCGGACGATAACAGTTTGTTTTGGCGCCAACGCCTAACTTCTAAACCAATTAGTTGGTACCTAGGTGTGTTATTGTTTGACAGCAGTCAATCCGTGATGTTGTTCAACCTTCATCCATTGCCTTCGGAGGATTGTTGTTTCCTAACTAGCACAAATAGTTGTAAGCCATTAGAAAATGTCAAATTAATCCTAAATCAAACAACTCTACAAAACCATCCTGATCAGAAGAAGAAAGTACACGAAAAGGATCTATTGAATCTCATCAAACAGAAGCATGCGCTAGAACAATTAGATCCATCAATCAGGCGACGATTGTTAAACCAGGTTATCCTCCTAATTTTTCGAACCGATCACCGACTAATAAACTTGCGTTTTTATTAGACCTATATTCAACTTGATAGTCGATGAAAACGCGAACGGAATAATACTGATATTCAATTTCCCATTATAAACGGTTTTATGGTTATTCCACTTCATGGAAAATATTCGTTTTATTCATCCAACAAATATTTTCACTCCATCAAATTGTTTCACTTGAAATAAAATACACTTGAAATGAATAACTCACACTTCAAGTGTACATTTCATTATTCTCCATAACATTATCAACCACTCGTTATCTACAACAAACTGAATTGATTTTCTCCAAAAACATTTCGCTTTGCCGTTTTTGTCAAAATTACATAAATATCAATTTACAGAGATTTCAATTCATGTTCATACTTACGGTTGAATGACTAAACACATCATGTTTGCTTAGTACATATTACATTGCACTAACACTTTCATTTCTTGTTCTTAGGTTCACATTTTGCACTGAATTGGAACAACGACATTTCAGTGATATAACACTGTAATTCATTTCATTTATTAATTAGACATTGAACATCTCACTAAACACTTCATGAATCAACTTATTTCAATGATCCTAATCAGGTTCAAGACAATTTAAACTTTCAAATCACCACACGTTTTTATAGTAACACAGACTAATGTCAAAATATTAATTCACTCATAATCATTTATGATTTCGATTCACATCTTCACTAATTACAGAGCATATCTGCGATCAGTTTAGGATAAGCAGACATAGTGCAATCTTGACTGGTCAGAAATGAGGGTGAAAGCAGTTGAAATAAAATTCATTCATACACAACTTCATTCTGATCTAACAAAAATATTCACAGAATTGTCGTTGTGATCTTTAGATACTGTTGAAATACTTCCTATTTACACATTGATATGAGGAGAACTAATAAATATTTGATTTCTCTATTGTGTATGTAAACACTGTTGTCATCACTCAAGAGATACTCAGTACTCAATAAACTCAATGCTCTTCGGTTTCGCACATCTCAGTTTCATTTTTTTCATATCTTGTCTTAAGATATCATGTTTCCAGTTGTTACATAGACAATTCATTTTGAACAAAAGATGTCCACTGCCTAAATTGGTTAAAATAACTGAAATACGTTAAACTTCCCGACGACTTTTGTCTTTAATTATTTCATGATGTTATATGTCAGAAATGAACAACCTAATATAATGAAGGATGCTGGACTAGTTTGTGCTAACCTACATCAACTGGGTGATCAGAATTATTCTTGTGACCCTGATGGTGAAATCAGATTTAGGCCATCATCTGATGCTGGATGTTATGATTTTATTGCATGCGTCCCCAGGACGTACATGCAACTTCAAAATCCCCACATGATTTACATAAATTTCAACTTTAGGAAAATACATCGTATGTGTGTCGCTTTTCTCAGAAATCAGCCATTGAAACTCAATCTTATTATCATAATGTTTGTGAGACAATTCTGTTTTCGTTCAATTACATTTGGTAGACAAAGGCAGTTTTGCACTAGAATACTAAGTGCAATGTATGTGTATGATTTTTCCATCTTCCTATTAACAGTTTGATTTAAAGTTGTTTATCTTATTCTTGCATTTGTTCAATTCATTTGTTTATGTTGTGAATTGATGATTGATCCAGAGTTTGTCTTGTGTAAATCAACTTGATGATAAAGTGAAATTGTGCTTTCCACCTCCCTCTTAATCATGTATGCAACGAAACAGTGTATGGGAATGGTCGATATTCCATGCATAGAGGAAAATGTAAATTTTTGACCTGAAACAAACATCACTTGATGTGTTCAAGTAGATAAAGTATACACTAGTTAGTACTTCACAAATAAAATTGAAATATTCAATTAGTGTTGTATGCACAATATGCACGCGTCTGATCTGATTCATCAATGCATTCACGTGTTAGTATTTGTGTGAGGTATTAGTCATATATGGAATGGAATAGAATTGAAGTGTAGCACACAATTTCTTCTTAGGATCACTATTTTGAACCAGTGGGAGTTAGAAATCAGACTAGGTTATTGTTTAAATGTGAGGCAGGTCTTTGTTTGACTATGTGTGTATGAAAAATATGTGCATGCACATAATGAATAGACTTGATCTATGTGAATGGTATGTGCCTATTTGTATACGTAAGAAAAATACACAAAATTTTATTAAATTTACACGATATTAATTTTTCGTTTTATTATACCTCTTTGCATTTCTCGAAACAGAATTATTCTGAAGCGATGTGTTATGAACTTCTTTCCGAACCTTGCATTTTACGATTGCTAAACTAATATCCCCAATCAAGGGACACAAATATATAAATACATTCAATAAGTGAAAATTTCAATCTTAAGTTTAACTTCTCAGGAATTCATTTTTAACGGCATCCTATGTTAAATTCAGTAGTTCGTAACGTTTAGCCGAGGAGCATGAATTTTAAAGATATTTTTCATTTAAGATATGTCGATGCGATAGTAATCACAACAAATTCTTACTTAGAAAAACTCGTTTATTTTAGCTTTATAATATTTTACGTTGTTTGTTTCTTTTTAACGACAATGAATAATTTTGTAGTTCTGTACTGGAAGTCCATTCATTTCGTTTGGATAAAAGTAAAAAATTAGAAATGAATAACGATAAATAGTTTATTCTGTCGAATATATACGAGTTTAAAACTGATCCTCAAGGATTTATTGACTTGAGAAAACATCTGATACCTTAAATTCACCAACTGTGAACATTCTTACCGAATTTTAGAAATAAATTAACTTTTCATTCACTAGTTCATAAGATCCGATATGAATGTTAATTATTTATAGGCTTTTGGCGGGAGCCGAACTAAATATAAGGGTAACTGATTTACTTTTGGTCATTCAATTCAGTAAACAACTACCAATTCGCTTGGTAGATATACAAAGTATTATTCATCTACGTATCAATGAACGGACTTGATGGTAATAACATTCATTGTTACAGGAAGTTTCATACTGCTGAATGTTTTAACTGATGATTGATAACCTTTTAAAATACTTTCTCTCAAATATGCTGTATACATTTATTAAAAAATGGATCTAGTTCATCATATAATAAACCATTACTTGAAAACAAGGAATAAATATATTTATCATTTTTTATCTTAGAGATTATTTTCCTTTCAAAACAAAGTCGGAGTCACAATCTTAAGGTTTTTGTTACGATTCAGCCTTAATTCTGACTTTAATTTATTTTCCCGTAGATTTACGAAATTCCATATTCCTATTTATGAATTGAAAAAATATGTTTTCAAAAATATAATATAATATCAAATATTCGCAATCTTGAGAAACCTAAGTTGACCACTTTGAATACTATTATATCTGGTTCCTTTGATCATAAAGATTTTGTTAACTAAAAGAACGTATAGGATTATTCCCACTCAAATGTAATTTTAGAAAAAAAAGCCTTCGAAGAAAAATGAATTTCTGTACATGCAATAACAATGGAACTAATACATTCATCCACATGCTAGTAACATAATTAAAAATCAGTTTAGTACAATCAAAGCTTGCACGCGTGCTAGCCAATACGATTCATGGAAAAAAACTTGTGCCTCCAAAGTCAATTCCTATTGGTCGATTGTTTTTTCATCCACCTGGTAGGTATGTAGTCATAAATTTATAAACTCTGAAATAAAATAATAGTTGGATTTAATTCTTTCATTTTTTGGAATCTATAGTCAGTTACTCTGACGAAAAAAAAAATTTACTGGAATAATGCAAAGGAATAAAAGACAAAATATCCGTGGACCTTTACGTGCCCTTTCGATTGTTTTACCAAATGTTAATAATAATGCTTCAACTTTACCAATAAAACAGAAGAGTGTAACTAATACAGTTGATGAGGATAAGTCACAGTAAGCTAAATAACTTTTGTTTTGCCTGTTCTCCATATATTTATCATTGCTAAGATTTTACATTGTCGTCAATTCGTTTATTAATCTATTAATCATTCAGCTGGATTACAGCAGTTAGATTGGACATTTGATAATCACTATCAACTTCTGTTTATTCGATCATACTAAATATATATATAGCTTCAATAAATCAATATGAAAAATTTAAAGCTGGAGTTTAGTAGAATAGTGCACTACTCAATTTTAAAATCAGTATAATTCAACATGCTGTATTAAATGCCTTTCAGAAAATTTAATTCTCGAGGTGCAAATGAATTGTCATAAGAAAGTTGGTGTGCATAAACAAAACTACTTTCTATTTTTATAATAAACATATAATTAAAGTTGGACCCCTAGATGGATCACGAGTAGATTATTAGGTGTTATTTCTAGTTTTCGTGTACGTATGAAATTTCTCTAGGATAAGTTAATGAAAGATGAAGACACTTGAATTAGGTTAGCTAATTTGCGTTATTAATTTCATAGGTTAGCTGATCTATCTTATTCACTGTTGAAAGCTCTTTCTGAACATACAACGCTAAGTAGATGTGATTAGTATTGACGCCATACAAACTGTAATCTTGGAACAAACGCTCGTAAGCATTCAATGAAAAGTCGTCGTTAACTGTTATTCTCTCTTGAATCCTTTCGTAAAATCTTTCGAGCGATAATAAGGAAACAGAGATCATGTTTTTTTTCTGTCAAGCTATTTCTTGTCTTAACTACGTAGTATTGTATATATATAGATAAAAGGTCATCTGTTTAAGCCTCAGGTTCATTCATATATTTCGAAAATGTTTTTTATTGTTTTCTTTTCGAAACATGGAACCAAAAATTTTTAGGCTAATAAAATTTTGAACTTGATGAATCATTTAAATAGCTTCGACCTGTATACCAAGTTCAATGAAAAAGAGGATAAATTATGTCATAGTATTTTGACATGATTACGTAATCGTACAATCCAAAATCAAGGATATTAACCATAGTAAACATTATATTCCCGATGAATTTTATACGAACCCCTATCTCAATGATTGGGCAAAACAGGTGAGGGGCATAACTGAATACTTAAATTTTTATAGGTTAGTATTGTCAAAAAATTAGTATATAATGATTATAACAAATAACTTTCGGATTCTTTTTCAGTTTACCAATGCATAATATCTTGTCTACACCAGTGTGCCGAGCAGTCGCTCCTAGATTGTCACAAACAAAAACATTTGAAACATTTTCCGAAATATTACCGATGCCTTTACGATCATCATCATGCCGGTTTGATAAAGAAAATCTCAGTCATCGCAAATCGGATATACGTCGTCATTTCCCTATTCGCAATAGTGTCAATAGATTGTCACACATAAACACTGATGATCTAAAGGCATCTAATCGTACTGTAGATTCTCTGTTGACTCCCTCAAATCGTTTAAACACCAGTTTATCATCTGTAGATTCTATTTTTTCATTTGGTGATGTAACACGTAAACGTCAATCAAGCTCAGGTGATATTGATATAAAACCCAAACAATCACGCTATACTGATAACCAAAAATCTGTCAAGCTAAGAAACGACAAGGATATAATTTGTTTGACAATGGGAGCTGGTGTAAAAGCTCATCCTAGATATTATCTGAGAAAGAATGCAATTGATGTGGATATCACTGAAGATAACATGCCTAGTTCTAAAAAGCACTTGGCTCCAATTTGCCCTGTCCCTATGCCAAGCGGCTTTCCTCTTCAGCTACCTGTTCGTTACTCGTCTGTTTCACTTCCTTGGGAAATTAAATCCGACCCAAGAAACAATTCATCAAGAACTGTGGAAACACAAACTTCACCTGTTCACATTAACCGTAAGTACATGATAATTCCAATATTAACTATTGTTTGTTGATTTCATGCTACAGGAATTATATAGTTATCTTTCTGAATTTCAGAAACCTCAGAGTCCGGAAAACCTAGAGGCAGAAGACATACAGGGTAAGTTGAATTATTTAATGAAGAATGTCTAAACAAACATTTTTCGTTAGCATGTTCAGTAACAAAGTTAGACTAAATATTTCACTCAATACAGATTACGTAGTTATATTAATATCACATGTTTGAAAATATGTAGTTTTCTATAAATTAGAGATATCGCCGTTCTTGAAATGATTAATCTTCGTTTACTTCACGAATAGTTGTGAATTTTTTCACAATCAATTTTCAGTTAAGTTTCAATTTTCATTTTGTTGTTACAAATGATTACGTACATAATCATTTTGGCTATAAAAACAATCCATAATTTGTTTAGGTCAAATAACCTAGTAACACGAACAACGAATGTAAACAAAGGATTATTAAATGTTCATAATTCAGGTCATTAAATTTTTTTTTATCTTGGTGTAGATTTATGTTGACTATATTTAGAAATAACCAGTAGATATTTTTTGTTTCTTTAACTACAGAATAGGACTTCGTGGTTCTACTACTGCCCATGTACTCCAAAATTTAAGACGAAAATTCAGTCATCTGAGAAGAGCAATCAGTGCAGATCGACTGAACAAAAATTCTTCAACACCATCTGAAATAAAAGAGTCCTGTAAACATGATTGTGAATCTATATTGAAGAATACAAGCTCCACTAATTTAAATGTGCAAGAAACTCCTGAAAACACACCCTATAAACTCACTTGTAAAGTTGTACGGAAAAATCCAGATGGCTCCGTTCAGATCTCGTTGAGACGTTCATCAATCAACGGACAATTCGGATTCTTCATTGCGCGTGACTCTAAAGGTAAAGTTCAGTGAGTATTATTCATTTAGTACAGCGTTTTTGTCATTACTGTCAAGTCAATATTAATTTACTCCAATTTAATGTTTGTCTGTGGTAATTTTTTTTACAACAGCTATTGTTACACAGACGATGGCTTGTACCTTATACTTATAGTATTTAAACTACAAACTATAGCATAAAATCCAAATGAGTAATCAACTCTTTTTCTCTTATATTGTAGGTATTTACGTTAGTCGGTTGGGAAATGTTCGATGTGCAGCCAAGCTTTGGGATGCATTTCATGTTGGTGATAGAATTTTAGAAGTTCAAGGCCTACCATGCACTAATCTTGATGTAGAAGAAATTCGAAATCTTATACGTGGTTGTGAACTTGTTGAATTTAAAGTCAAACCAAGTTGTCACATAGATTCTAATTTTTCCCGCAAGCATTCATTGTAACTAAGTCTTTCTTCACTTTTATTTCATTTGTTTCAGATAATGTATATTTGCTATTGCCTTCTAGATAATTTTATAAATATCTTCTACCTATTGTACAAAGATTTTCAGATTTTTAGCCAAGTATAACTTTTAATAAGATTGTATAGACAACTTTTTTTTATTTGTAAAAAGATGTTAGCCCTATTATTGTTATTATGATTTAACTATATTTATCAGAGTCTGAAATATATTACAACTCTATTTTTTTTCCTAAAACAAGATCATTTTTTCTAATTTGAAAAATTCTTTTCTCTTTTCTGTACATACAAACATAGAATCAATAACATGATTTGTTTTAAATGTGTTTTTTATATAGTTTTTCCTCGTGGTTTGAATAACATACCATAGAATATTGTATGCTTATTCATCAAATGTGCGAAGTGTTTATTAACAATAGTCCTAGCATTGCGACCAAGTTCTTCCAATGTAAACCAAACTGTTTCTATAATATAGTAGTAGGAAAATACTAGTTTCGTGAATGTTAATGCAGTTTAAATTGGTTTCCGAAATATATATATGGAATCACATTATTGAATGCAACTGATCCATACTTCCTTATAAAGTCTTTCAATGAAATTATCATTTGTTACATGGTGTGGGAGAAGGATAAAATTTGAAAGACTCAACTAGGAAAATTGATAGACAGATTAGTTGGTAAGCTCACTTGCATTCGATGATGAAAGCAATCGATAATAATTGCCAAAAACACATGGATGACGATCAAGTAAAGAAAACTAGTTGATTGAATAAGATTCCAAATGCTGCACAATTTAATTTCTGTTAAAATTTCGAAATACGGACAATTAGGATTCATTTATCAATCAATTTTTAAAAGGATATATTTAGTTATGTTAATTTAACGCTTATCTAACATTCATTTATGATAAAGAACTAATTGTCTTGACTATCTCTATCTCCAGTGATAGGAAATGTCAAAATAATTATTTGATAAATGCTCTAAACCAATTTCCCTGAATTATTGAATATGATTGTTTTTGTTTTGTTATGTAATTGAATCAAACATACAGATTTTTTGTTAACTAGTCAACAAGACACGTGTGACGTTCCATAATAATGGCCTCCACCGCTAGTTTGACCTTTTCTTACAGACAATTATACATGTTAACATTTTAGATAAAACATCTACTAGCCTACACTTTTTTTGTCGTTGTTCTAGCTCAATCAGTGAATGAGACAAATTACACAAAATGTGATATGTTTATTTAAAAAAAGAAACAAATCTGTGTTGATTTAGAGGCGAAATTAAACGAACCCTGTTTTATATACTTTTTGATTTGAATCAAACTTGTAGATCTTTTTTTTTAAAAAAAGGTGTTGATAAGTCGTTTTTTTTTAAGACATTTCAACGTCTAATCTGATAAACATGAAATAAAATGAGTTAATTTACAAGTCAGATAACAATAATTAGACGGTATGTGGGTGTGAACAACTTAATTAGTAAACATTTTTTGCCCTTATTTAATGTCGTAACCACCAGACTTGAACTGTCTAATTATTAATCAGTATTGGTAAGATTGTAGTAATAAGATCACATCTTTCATATCAGGGCGAATTAAATTTAATTCTATTACAATTCACTTGTAACGGATTTTTCAATCTCTGCTTGAATTCATCCGATTCAAATGAGACCTTATAAGGAAAATTTTAGGAAGTAATAGCTGATAACTTTCGACTTAAATTCAGAGTTTGGAAATTTGACAGCTTTTCGATCATAAATTATCGATTTTGATTCATCTGATATCATATGTTTATTAGTTCTTTGAATGCAAACAGATTATTAGTGGTGAAACTCACCTCATATATAAAGGTATATGTTTACCAACTTTATTGTTCAGCTAGTCAAATTGTAGTTTAACTGTTGGATCTCTGAAATATCAGATTAGTGATAACAATGTTGATTACCGTAAACTATCATTGTCAGCAACCAAAATCAAGCTGTATTTGACATTATTCATTAAAGTAGACTTAACATTTTATAGATTAACTTTAGTAATTTGATTTCATAATCCATTATAATCGAACTGGACAATCTCATTCTTAAGTCATACAATCATAACTTAACGAATAATCTCCTTACTAATAGATACTGGAAACCGAAACATTTAAATGTGAAGCTTATTAATGATTATTTCCAATTGATCGTCATTCAAGATCATTCACTGAGATCATATCTCATTTGAGTAAGTCGGTCATACAATAAAAATTGCAACATTCTACTTACTAGCAAAAAACATTTACCATTAATCTGTTAAAACAATTGTTCTAATAAATTGGAGTAGCTTCTTTTTAAGTTAAATATTTCTAACCTAGTGATAATTATTTATTCAAAAAAAGAAAAAAAACAACTGATGCCATTTCTCATTTTCATTAGTTTAATGATTTTTTGCGATAACATTAGACGATAAGCATTGACATGTAATTCATCTGTAAAAAAAATATAATGAACAAACATGTGAACAGTGGAGTAAAGACACATTAACTATTGAAATGAAACAATACAAGACTTGACAGTTTTAGTGATCATAGAAATTAAAAGTTGACCAATACACATGTCACGCATTTATCTCTTTATTCAGTTGCTTATCATTCAACGGGGCTGGGTTGAATATGCCACTAGTCATTAAATGAACTTTATACATTAACCGTATTCAAATATTGTTCAACCAAAGCGCAACAAAACTTCAGTAATTTAAAAACTAAATATTTACAGCCTAAATGAACTTAGTTCATTCAGTTAATGATAAAGAACACGCATTTGTTGAATTTTCAACTAATGAATGCCTAGGTTCCGTTCACTTTCAATTTTCAATACTGGGTAGGAATAAATTCTACCGAAAAATTTGAAAATATAAATGATCAGGTTAGTAGAAGTTTGTGTCAGTGTATCAGGTTTGAGATTTTTAGAGTTTTTTTTTTAAATTACCAACCAAGTGAAGGGATTAAATTGGAAAAAAAGTCACCTATACATAGATGGTGTATTTTACATTATTCATTTTGATTGTTATAGTACACACATGATTAAAAATAATGTTTATTTGTTGTTAATGTTGTTGGTTATTTTTTTTCGAGAAAAAAAAGGAAACCAGTTCATGTTCTGTCACGTTCATGATTTTCACAGATCTATACAAAATCACATTAGAAATTTGTTTTTTTCAGATTTACTACTTCTACTTTTTTGTCCATCCACATACTCTTGTGATGATTTGTTTATGAATCATGGATACATTATCATATGAGTAAATCATGTCATTTTAATTTTTAACACGCTTATATTGTACACGCTCTCCCTTAAATTGTGAATAGGATATTTTTTTTTCGTCAATACTCTGATTGATTCGAGGTCATCTTGTTTACAGCATAACAAGGATAAACAAGTAGATGTATAAGAGAATATGTTCACGTATCGTTTGATATGTAGATTTTGTAGGTAAGAATTTTTGTGTTTGCTGGTCATAGTTGAGCATTGTAAACAATGTAAAAGGCAGGGAACGATAAATAAGGATAAACCATGAAGCCAAATTTCATCAAGATTTATTTAACCAGAAGTGTGAACTACCCATAGACAATCTTCTAGCTTAGAAATATCAGAGTTATATTAGATTACGTTAATATTTACACCAATATAATATGACGATATTTAAACTTTTTAAAGATCCTCATCATATCGAAACAATATTGTATTTTATTAGTACAGAGGATTTATGGAGAATGTTACATTAATATAGTTAAAATCGTGAACGAATCCTAGCTGGATCACAACCAAGAACTTGGAAACATTGAGCGTCTGATACGTCTTAGTATAAGACTCCTCCGGAGTGCATACCCAGAAATTTGCTCAAGGGAATCGAACCCAGGATATGGGTCTCGTTTGCGAAAGCTTAACCTCTAGACCTTTGAGCTGGTATCTAACGATGTTAGTATCTGACTTCAGTCAGTCTGTGATGTTGCGCAAACTACAAACATTGCTTTTGGTAGCTAACTGTCCTCCACCCAACACAATCGAACTCTAATGATCATTTCTCACTAAAACTCCAGAAATGACATCTTGGACCTAGTCATTAATGAGCACATAATCCGTATTAGTATATGGTTGATTGAAGTTAGGAGTTATTACCACTGGATGCTGGCTTGGTGGCCTAGAAGTTAAACGTCTGTGCACAGTGCTGGTGTTCCTAGATCCAATTCTTGTATATGGAGTCATTGATGCATACGGTTGAGATGTCCTATGTTAGGTCGAAATGGTCATTCAGTGCATTCAGATTTTCACTAGCGGTCTAGCTAATATCAGTTCATGATTTCAACCGATACTTGTGTCTTCATAATATTCTTTAATAAATCTTATGTTTGACTTACTAACACAGGTCTCTACCGTAAGCATCTTGGAAAGTAATTCGTTTATTTTTGTGTTAATCAGAGCTTCCTAATTTTCAGCAATCATTTGGTTAGTCATTCTATAGGATAAACTTTTTCATACTTCGAATTAGCTATAATAAGAATCGAGTGATATGTTCACTTTACAATCTTACATACATTTGAAATTCAACACATAAACTTTAGCTAGTACTATAAGCATGACATTGATAATATTATTTTTCGTAATACAGCTTTTGAAACTAACAGGTTGCATTCAACTGCCTTATTCGAAGTCTGATTAATTATTGAATGAGTTATTTGACGTCGTATTTAGCAATCACTAAGCGAAAAATAATAATAATTTAATTCTGATTGATCATCATAGCATATACAAAAGGTCAAAGGGGGTAAGCGTAACTGTTCAATAAAAAAACCGTTAATTGTTTTTTTCGAATATCATGGAGATATACAAAAACTGGTAGGTGCTTCATGATGGATTATAAATTTCAACTGAAATTATCACCTTGGATTGCAATTCATCACACACACACACTAACAAAAATATGTGTTCAGGTGAAATTATGAAATTTATGGTCTAATTATATGAGCGAAAAAAATTCCTCATTAATCCCACCTTTAGTTCAAGCGATAGAATTCAACTAATCTTTGAATCGTGATTTCTTTTTAAAAATAAAATCTCCTCATTTTTACTTTATCTAAATGTGGACGAAAAGATTATCAGTAATATGTGAA